AAAAAGGGTACAAAATCTTACCAGTCTTAAAAGGAAAGAGACTCATACATGGTTATATACAATTCCCCAAGGGATTGATTATCTTTGGATAAGTGTTTTAAAGATTCTAAGTATTTTTTACATTCATTTTTAAAGCAATTTAAAGAGGGTTTACTGTTATTCCACTTACTTTTGTGTATATGATATTTACCCATTGTAATAATAATGTTTAACATCAATGACATGTTTTTCGAAAGACCATCTGCACAACCAAAAACCAAAACCTGAAACAAATTCAGTGATGGAATATCAGTGTTGATATCAATATTTAGCCAGCTGTAAAGATCCTGCCAGAACTTCAATGTGACTGGACAAGAAAAAAATAAATGTTCAATGGTTTCAGGCTCTTCTAAACAAAAAACACAAGGCTCTACCTCAAAACGGAATCTTTTCCGTAAAATTTCGGCAGCTGGATACACATTATTAATAATCCTAAACTGAATATCCTAGCCATGGCAGGTTATTGTTCTCAAGATGCACAATGAATCTTTGAACAGATTATCTTGTTCAGAATGTCCTGTCACTGCAGTAAGTGATCCAAAGTTTAGCTGTGTTCTGTGCTAAAAGTGTTTAAATCTGCAAATTGTTGCTATATTAATGAGTTAACGTAGTCAACTCAAGCTTAAAGTTTTAGAGGCTTGCCTCAGGTTTTAATGCTTATCCAGTTTTAATGCAATTCTAGTCATTATCATGGATATAGCATATTGTTGAATACTGTGTTTTCATGTTCCTCTAAACAATTTACAATTGTTAACAAGCAAAACTGTTTGCTTATGCAAAAAATGTTACTTGTCTTTTGGTTGAAAAGTTAAGTACGACTTTTTGTGAACAATAAAAAAAAACATTGAAATGTTGTTATTGTTTATTTCTTTAAAAGTAAATAAAATAATTTTACAATTTAAGTAGTATCATTTTAAAATTATAATACATTACTTAAATATAACTATCACTACTTAAAATCATTTGTTAATATTAATATTTTTTTGTTCAACTTAATAGTTATTTTATAAAACATATCCTCAAAAAAATTCATAATGTGAACTAATGCTTTTTAGTAAAGACTACTAATGCCAACTTGATTTGTCTGCTACACCCACTAAATGTTCTATGTTAATACAACTTAACCTGTTTAGTGTCACCCTGTGTAAAAACTAAAATTATTTAGTGCAACGGGTTTCCACGCAATTTTCTAGTAAAGTCAACTAATTCGGGTTAAGAGTGCACTATTCATATTCGCTGAAGGAGAGAATTAGAGTATACAACACTCTCCAATGAAATGTGCTGTGTTTATGCTATCTATCTATCTATCTATCTATCTATCTGTCTGTCTGTCTGTCTGTCTGTCTGTCTGTCTCTCTCTCTCTGTCTGTCTGTCTGTCTGTCTATTGCATATTTGGAATCTATTCTATTCTATTCTATTCTATTCTTCATTTTACCTTAGAAAATGACCCCAAAAATCTCAAATGTGTCGTTACAACAATGTCATGAGCTATGCTATCAAAATTCAGATATTTCAAAACATTTGAGTTCACATCGAAAGGAATTTTTATGACAAACCCCTGAGATGAGATTCATAAGGAAGCATGACTGAAAACTCTATTAAGTCTTTTAGTTATAAAAGTCCTCCCTGTGCTATTGAATGGGGGAAGGTAAATTAAAACCAGCCTTTATCAACCCAAAGACATAAAAAGTGCAATTTCTCAGCATTTTCTGTGCTTGGTCAAGTGATGAAATTATATAAAACACTAAGGTTTTTTCTTTATTTCTTTACATGCAGTGCCAATAAAAAACGAGGTGATGTCTGTGTCTCATTTGTACCAGACCTCGCCCAATTCTCCCAAAATTGCTACAGTTTGAAGAGCGGAGGAAGAACAAGCTGGGCGGAGTGAGAGAGAGGAATGGATGTGAGTGGAGGAGAGACTTTCAGGTGGACGTGAGACTTCTCACATTCACTAGATCATATGGGGCTTGGTTTAGTTCCTTTTTTTCCCCTGTCCGGCCTCAAAGAGGTGAGTGTGCATCGGTAAACCTAAACCAGGCCCTGAATGTCATCCAACAACTGTCCCTGGAGTCCTGAACAGTCAGATCTCAGGTGAGCGTGCACTTATTAGCCTAAGTGCTAAAAGATCGAAATGAACATGACTGATGAAGATGTTTGACCATCCAGAGCTTCCTGCCATGATGTTCAGGTAAGTTTTCCCCTGGTGTTGCTATACAGTGGTGTTTTTTTAGTTTGTTGCAATGAGTTTAGCAAACTTAGTTTGTTTCTAAACGTTTTAGATGTTTGCTAGGCATTGCTAGGGTGTTCTAGGTGGTTTTCATGGTGTTGTTATGTGGTCTCTAAGGTGTTGCTAAGCATTTGCTAAAGTGAGTAGAGTGGTTTTTCATTTGTTATAATCCAGTTGCCAATTTTAGGGTGGTCTGGATGGTTGCTAAGGTATTACTGGCCTAAAAATAACCTGCTTCCAATTCCCTGCTTCAATGTAAATCTATGGGATTTTTTGGGGGTCCAGTCGCTTAGAAAATACAGTAATAGGCCATTTCAAATGACTTTCCGGACCGAGATAAAATACCTGAATATAATGCTAATGTGCAAGTTATTGTGTTTCTGACAATGGTAAATGTACTGTAGGGCAATATTTACCACAGTGAGTCACATAAAAATAATCTGTTTTGAAGAAAATGATGAAGATGTTTGACCATCCAGAGCTTCCTGCCATGATGTTCAGGTAAGTTTTCCCCTGGTGTTGCTATACAGTGGTGTTTTTTAGTTTGTTGCAATGAGTTTAGCAAACTTAGTTTGTTTCTAAATGTTTTAGATGTTTGCTAGGCATTGCTAGGGTGTTCTAGGTGGTTTTCATGGTGTTGCTAAGCATTTGCTAAAGTGAGTAGAGTGGTAATCCTTAAATGAAGAATTTCAAACTTCCTATTTCAACCTACATGAGTGTGTTAAGAGATACTGATGCTTCATGGCAATCCATGTCCTCTAGTTCAGCTGACACATAGAGTAGATGTCCCCCCTTGTATCATGCACACTCAATGTTAAACCTAATCCAGTTACCACGAAAACAGTAATAGATCACTTCCTATACAGTACATGTCATACGTCATGCCACTGGCTGGCGGCCAGTGTTTCAGCCTTACAATAAAGACCTCACAGTCTGTATTTTCTGGTTGTGTTATATCTAAATATGTAATTCCATTCAGCATCCTATGCCAGTTTGTCACATCCTCCTATGCCACTTTCTCCATTTTCGTCTCATATAATAAAATAATTTCTCATTCGAATGTAAGAAATCATGACTGAACAATGAAGAAGGTAGTTAACATTGAAAGACTGATCTTGAAAGTGACTAGGCTGGATGTGTCATACTGTTGTCTGCTCTTGACCCTGTTCACTTTAGATCTCATTACTTTGCCGACTGACCCTGACGCCCGTCTGGATTAACTTACTCTCAATGCTGGACCGTCAGCCAAGCATGTTGTGCACATACTCAAAGAGGAGTGCATGCCTACGTTCAGGTACAGGTGCGCACAAACACTGACCATGTCGCATGCAAATTGTGTACGTGACACTTTCAAATGGCAACCAGAATGCTAACCTGTGTGCACTGAATCAAGCAGCTCAAACTAAAGCTGCCCATATATCCTGCCACTAAGCTCTAGATAGACAGACAGACAGATGATAGATAGACAGATATATACAGTTATGTCCATATATATTTGGACACTGACACAATTTTCATAATTTTGACTCTGTATGCCACCAGAATAGAATTAAAATGAAACGAGATGAAATTAAAGTGCAGACTTTAAGCTTTAATCATTCAAGGGGTTGAACAAAAATATAACATAAAATGCTTAGCAATTACAACCATTTTTCTACACAGTCCCCTCATTTTCAGGGGCTCAAATGTAATCGGACAAATAAATATAATCATAAATAAAAAAATATTTTGCTGAGAATGATCATCATTTATTGGGTACTTTCAATTGGGAGGTGGCTGTCCCGAACTCTAACCCCTACATTTCAACTTATGAAAATGATATTGAAGAAATGTTTGTATTTTTTTTCCATTGTTATTTTTAAAAGTATCTTTTTGATTCTTTTAAAAAGTTAAAACATATATTTATTTTATATTTTCTTTGTAAATTATGAAACTTTGTTTAAAAAAACGTGTCCCGCATTTTTGTCACTACCGAAACATTTGGTGGAGTTTTGGTAATGACATCTTGTTTTTTTTTTTGGGTGTTATCCCATTGAATTGTCTCTACCGAAACATTTGGTGGAGTTTTGGTAAGGACATCTTTGTTTTTTTTGGGTGTTATCCCATAGAATTGTCACTACCGAAACATTTGGTGGAGTTTTGGTAAGGACATCTTTGTTTTTTTTGGGTGTTATCCCATAGAATTGTCACTACCGAAACAGTCATTACTGAAACATGTCATCATTGTTTCGGTAGTGACAAAAGGGAACACCTAATGCTCATATTTGGGGGAAATAAGCAAAATTTTTGTACAGTTATGCAATTTATTTTGTATTTTAGTATGCTTTAGTTGTATTTTAGTATGTGAGTTAAAATTCTGTAATGCGATGTGGTTGCTACCAAAGTATTACTGTCACTACCGAAAATGTGAGAAAAAGTGTGTGTATGTAAGTGTGCTTTTATATAAAAAGCTTTCTTTGGCTAGAAATATATTTAGGGCATATGTGGCAAAAAAAAACAAAAACATTTTGGAAATTGAAACTTAAAAAAAAAAAAAAAAAGTCAGTAATAATCAGAATTTCAGAATCCGAACATAATCAGATTAATCAACTATTCTGCAATCTTTCTGATTATTTTTTCTCTGAACCGGTCGCATTCTGGGATTGCATTTTAAAAGATGCATGCAATTCATCTTGCAACAGCTTATGCACGAAGAGCGTGGTTATCTTTAAAATGTTATCTAGGTAGGCAGCTCATTAGGTTTTGGAACGGAACAACAGTCTTTTTTTTACGGCAGTGATGAACTTACCACAGTAGGCCTGAAGGGCGGCTCCACCTGACGTTTCTCTAGTGCGTTCCAGTCCGTGTCTCTGAAGAACGCATGCTGTCGTATATTTCCTTTCACACCCAGCCTTCGCTCTGGTTCCCGGACAAATAGCTAGAACCATTCAGAAAACCCAGTTATAACCGATTGAGACCCACAAACCAGAGTAAAGCATTCTTCTATTTAACATTAACTCTGACATACCTTTATAAGAATGTCCCGTGTGTCTCTAGTTAACCAGCGTGGGTAGCACTCTATTTAACATTAACTCTGACATACCTTTATAAGAATGTCCCGTTTGTCTCTAGTTAACCAGCGTGGGTAGCAGGGGTCATCTGTGCGAATCGACTGAAACAGCTCTTCCTCGTCATGGCCATGAAATGGGGACTGGCCAATCAACATCTCATAAAGAAGGACACCAAATGACCACCAGTCTACAGAAGTCCCATATTTCTGCCCAAGCAGAATCTGTGAAACATACAGTGTACATTTGTATTTATTATTTTGTGCAATCATTTTTTACATGTAAACAATTAAAAATAATAATATATATATATATTAACTATAGTAAATGTGGTAGCGATCCTCACCTCAGGAGCGATGTAGTCTGGTGTTCCACAGAAGGTGCACGTTCTAGCTTCTCCAAAAATGTTCTCTTTACACATGCCAAAATCGTGGATCTTGATGTGACCATCGATGTCTAGCAAAATGTTATCCAGCTTAAGATCTCTGTGGAGGCATAATATGCATATAAATTTATGGCAATATTGAAATATCTGTCTTATCAACACACTTTTAGCTCATATTTTATGCAATATAGTTTCCACAGTAGTGTATACCTGTACACAATGCCTTTAGAATGTAGAAACTGCAGTCCACAAACGATCTCAGCTGCATAGAACCTATCGACAGAGAGCATAGAGGAGGTGTAAGAGAGTGAAACCCAGAGAAAAGAAGAGTAGGCAGAGTCTCAGCTTTTAAAATGTGTTTGTGGGGGCTGCATATGAGTCTCACGTGGACCGTGGGAGGTCAAATCTGTGGCAGGCCTGGATGTGGAACATTAAGTCGCCCCCATTTAAGTACTCCATCACGAAGAAAAGATTTTCCTTTAGAGACCATACAAAAACGGATCAGTGCAGTCCGGCCAAACAAAACCGCATTTCTTCAGTATGCGAGAGTGACTCAGTGTGTGTCATGGGGTGGGAGGAATGTCCAGAATCTTATATTGTAGTATTTCAGGGCCATTACTTGAATTCATAGGCCTTGAACAAAAGTTTATAAATATAATACTATTTTTATAATTTATTCACTATATACAGTATTATTACAGTATTACTATATACAATTCTGTCATTAATTACTCACCCTCATGTTGTTCCAAATCCGTAAGACTTTTGTTCATTTTCAGAACACAAATTAAGATATTTTAGAAAGAGAGCTTTCTGACCCTGCATAGACAGCAATGCAACTGAAGCATTATATGGCCCAGAAAGGTAGTAAGGACATCGTTAAAATAGTCCATGTGACATCAGTGGTTCAACCATAATGTTATGAACACTTGTTTAAAAGCAGAGGAATGCACACTCATGCGTCTTGCTAGGCTGTCAGTGACATTATCCCCTTCGGCCAAGGGCCTGAGCTGCATACCCTAAAAGAACCTACTGTTAAGGGCTGGGCTAGGAGGCCCAAGCCTAGGGCAGAGCTCAAGGCTTGGAATCAGAAGAAAGAGATTCCTTGAAGGGGATACGGCCAGGTGTCTAAAAAAACACACCAGACCCTGGCCTGCCACCCAGGGGGGCTACCACCTCAGGGAACGCAGTGTATTCCAGCCCACTCCGCAGAGGGGTGATTACTGATTCAACTATAAGGGCAGTGTGACAGTGAAGACCCACGGGCCCGACCGTCTATGGAGTGTTGAGGGCGGTCTCAAAAAGGGCCGTACACTTGATGTCACCATCTAGATGGAGCTCAGGTGAGCGGAGGACTCAACAGAACGACTAAGCGAGATGAGGCCAAACCAGTTCAACCAAAAAAACGACTATCAAGGCGGCCTCAAAAAAAGCGTCAGGCTCAAAGACAACCCTCTGAGGTGCAGCTGGACACGGTTTCATGCTCTCTATCCCGATAGAGAGCGTCGGTCCCGTATAACCAGACCCGAATGGTCTAAGCGAGACTAACTATCAAGGCGGCCTACAGAAGGCCGAACACTTGATTACACTGTCTAACCAGAGCTCAGGTGAGCAGAGGCCTCAGCAGAATGACTCTCTAAGTGAGAGAAGGCTAAACCAACTCAACCATATGACAGTTTATCTAAGCGGCCTCAAAAAGGGCCGTACACTTGATGTCACCATCTAGATGGAGCTCAGGTGAGCGGAGGCCTCAACAGAACAACTCTCTAAGCGAGAGGAGGCCAAACCTACTCCGCATAAGGACCTTTTGTCAAGGCGGCCCTACAGAGGGCAGAACACTTGATTCCAAGTCTAGCTGGAGCTCAGGTGAGCGGAGGCCTCAGCAGAATGACTCTCTAAGAAGAGGAGGCCAAACCAACTCAACCATATGACAGTTTATCAAGGCGGCCTCAAAAAGGGCCGTACACTTGATGTCACCATCTAGATGGAG